AGACGAATTTGAGGTTTAACTAAAGGAGTAAATTACACTACTGTCTTTGGGAGCTGACGCCAACAGTGGTGACGTGGCAAACTCACAACCAGCGAAAGGTTTATATGAAATAACTGGTTCATAGAGCAGGATTCAGAAAACATCAAAGAATGGGGTACTTATCGGACTCAGGTTGTACTGGAACGCTGTCTGCTATATTGTTATTGAGTGTCCTTTTTTAAAACACGGTTCAGAAGTAAGCTGATTACTAAGGCAGACGGCCACGTCTATTAATTCTATTTGCAAACGTGTAGAATTATTTTATAGATGAAAGAAAAGGTGTCTTTCGGTTTTGAAAAGATTTTACAAATGACCGAATAATTTTTAAACCTACTGGCCACTCCACTTGAGTCCAATGTTTAAAAACTGCGCCCTATGTACATCCTGCTTAAGGAAAAGTACGTTTTCGCATACGGCTTAAGAAAGAAGTCTCATGGTTCTCATAAAATATTACAACAGATGTAGAACATGTTGTATACATTAAAGGCAGCATTAATAAATTGACGAATGTGATGTACAATGAATGCACACCTCACAATCGTAAAAAAGCTCATAATTAGAAACTTTTCTAAAACCGAAGCATACCCTTTCTTTAAGTATAATATTTAAAGAAGGCGTAATTTGCTACCAAACGAGTAAAAGAAATATTTTTTTCGTTTACGTTTTCCATAAATACACTTGAATTTACAAAGACAGTCAAAATCAATGATATAAATGCATACTTCTTAAGCAAACGTTCTGTTAGTAGCCAGAAAGACGCTCGTTAAAAACCCGCATCCTATCGTGGATGAAAAGACTTCAGAAGAGACTACATGATAATCAGTATTACAACCTTACTCAATGCCGATTATCGAGAGAGTATCAATCTTTTGCATATGTCAGCATGTTACACGAATGCGAGGCCGTACTGTAGTAGCGTTGACAAGTAGTTTTAGCTTCGAAAGTATAATGGCGAATGCTTAGTTTGGTCGCCCATATGAAAAACAGGGATACTGCTCTGGTCTTCGGTGGACACATCATTCAGAAATTAGCATTTCGTTTTCTGCAAATTTATCCGCGTTTGGTTAATATCCCAGCAAAGACAACTGAATTTACAGTTAAAGCTGTTGAAAGGATTATCAGATTGCTTATATTAGTAAGAACTGGATGATAAAAAGTGCATGTACGGGTACTATATACTGATGTGGTATGCATATAGGGATTGGCTATGCAAGATACCATAGTTGTATTACAGTCAAAGAGCAGGAGGTCTCTAGGTCGTACTGCATATGACAAAAGAAGGGTGAAAAGAAGAACAGGAACGAGGAAAAACTTAGCGCAGGGGTGTGAAAATTGTGGCAACTGCAGAAATCCAGGGAGGAGGAGGAAATGTAAAACATACCGTGTGTTGTTGGAAGAATCTTGTGAGATGAGGCTCCAGGAGTTGAACGAGTCTGTAAATTTGAAAGGCGGGAAACTGCGTCAGCTAAGGCTAATTAAAAAAAATAGGCAATTGTGGCTTCTCAACTCAAACAAGCAAGAAGGGGGGGGAGACAAAGGATACGGGTGTCCGCCTAGCATACCAAGTAAAGTATTAAAAGCTCTTCATATAAATGCACTCGCCTCTGGAGGACGTCATCTGCCCAAAAGACACCACATTACATTATACTACTCGTGATAAGCGAGTAGTCATGTTTTATTACGATTAGGAGACCTAACGACTGTTGTGTCTTCACTCGCAACATGTAACTGACGTACTTTCCTATTCCTATTTCCTATCAGCTTGTTACCAATAGGGAGTTCAAAGGTGTTCATCTATCTTTCCCTCGATAAACTGATACTGATACTGCTAAGTGATACAGTAAGAAAAAGTATCGACCGAAAACGATCTTCACAACGCAGACTAATAATACTAATGTTGGGGACCTGAAGCAAATCTGGACTTTTCTACAGGCTACGTCAAAAGCAAACACATACAGAATGGTGCAGTTTCAAACTACTTTATGAGGGAGGATAGAGATAGAGGGGGAAAATGAAGTTTCAGGGTATTACAGGAAATCGCAGTTTTTAGAGGGGTAACATCTGTTCAACCGAGCAATCTGGTCTAAACTGAATTACGGATATGGTGCCCACAGGGCAATCAGTTAGGATAATGCCAGTCAGATGTTACGCACCCTC